GATTGTTGGGATTTGCAGTGATGAAGGCCGGGAATATGGGTCGCTGAATAAGACTGAACGATGGGATTGCAATGAAGAAGGTTGGTAGCGAGGGCTGTTGAAGAAGACTGATGAAAGCTATCGAGATTAGAAAAAGAAAGGACAAAAAGATGAAAAAGGAGTGAGAGAGAGAGAGAGAGAGAGAGAGTCATAGGAAGGGGCACTAGCTTGGGTAGAGAGGCACAGTGAGAGGGGGGAAGGCAGATTCTAATTTAGGTCCAGGGTCATTTACGTGAGGCACATACAGTGTATGGACAAATTTGTAATTTTATAATTAAAATAATAAAAATATATATTAAAATAAAAAAACTTAACAAATTTATGAATTATTTGAATAAAATAATAAAATATTAGAATTTAATTCATTTTATAATTTAATTATTTAAATTCGATTTGATGATTGAATTTGAATAAATTTAAATAATTTATAAATATAAATATATTATTCATGACCCTATACTAAAATAATATTTAGCACAAACACAAAAAAATAAAAGCTAAAATTAAAACAAAAGATAAATTTCAACGTATTTGAATTTTTAATGGTTTGAGACGTTGCTGAGTGGAATTAATACCGGAGACAGTTCAACAAATGATAAATGTATTCTAGCTTTTATGTAGTGCTGTTATCAGCATTCAAATAGAGAATAATTCAACTTGAAGGCAAAAAAAAAAAAAAAAAAAAAAAGGAAAAACAGAAGCTGTTGATTCTAATTTTCAACCATCAATTACATGGATTAGAGAGCAGTGTATGGAGCAGTTTTCACCAATTATTGAGCGATAAAAGTAAAGAAGTTAGTGAGTAGCAATTTGCTTAGTAACTTTCAAAAATTTTGTTTTCCTATTTCATGTAAAACTACGAATTAGAACGATCTAAAACGAGTTCCAAAAACCAAAAACACAATGCAACTTCAGTTATCTTACAGCTTCATTGCGTTTCAACTTACCTTTCAAAGCAATTAGCTTACATTTCAATACTTTATCTTGACCTTTCATTCACTTAGTCGTGGTTTTAATTTAGCAAAATTATCAATCTTCCTTTTTGTGTTGCTTATTTTCGCTCTTGCTTGAAGTATCAAGAATGAAGATCTTTGATCATTTGAGTAATCAAACCGCCGTAAGGTCTTTCTAAAAAATCAAACAACAATACTACTTCTATTCCCTTTATCTTTTGTGTGAAAGGTTTGTTCTGTTCCTAATGAGGTCTTCCAGAAGACCTCTTGGGCGTGCTAGGCGTATTGGGCTTTGGATGGTTTCAAGCTCACTTATAATAAAACATTTTACACAAAAAGGGTCAAATTTTAAAAATTAAAAAAAAAATTGCAAATATAGAAAATTGAACCATTTAAGCTAAAACCAAATGTAAAATTTATAAATTATGCAATAAGATTCAGTCTGCTGCTTAACTTGTAATTGATATCCTCTTCTTTTTTTTTTTTTTTTCATGGTATTATGTTTTTGGTTTTTGGGCATTTCATGGCAGTATCTTTTTGTTGGGCAACAAGGGAAGAAAAAGATTTGAGGGAGGGGGATGGTAGGCCGGAAGAGGCTAAGAAACAGGAGAGAGGAAGAGAAGATATAGAGAGAAACAACGAGGGGATGAAGGTGGTCGACCGATCATCCTCTTCTGGAGGATTATTATAACATTATTATAAAACTAATAATTACTTTATTGTTAACAATTTCTTTCAACCAACCTCAGCTCGACTGGTCGAGCGGAGGACTGTAGTAGTCATTTCCACTCATCGCAGGTCGCTGGTTCCGATCCGCCAGATTTTGTTATATTATAAAATTTTGTTCGTTTATAAATATTTAGATTCTGTCTGAGAAAATTTTTTTTGTCATATTTATTATCATTTTTAGAAAATATTTTTTATTTTTTAAAAATATATTTGATAAATAAAAATAAAAATTATTTTTTATAAATGCAAAATAAAGAAATAAATAAAATAATAAATGTATTATGATTAATGACATCAATTATAAATATAATATATATTTATTAATTAATAATATTAAAAAATATTCAAATATGATAATTTGCAAAACACAAAAAAAAAAAAAAAATTAATGTACATCCTTTGGTTTCATAATAAAAACATTTTTTTATTTTTATATTTCAACCTATTGTTATTTTTGCCTTTTAAAAATTTATTTTTATTTTTAATTAACAAATACCTTTTCACTCGTGTTTTTTACTTTTCAAAAAAAAAAAAAAGCAAAAAATATTCTAAATTTTGAAACTAAATATTATCTTATTTTCTCTTCCAAAACAGAAAACAACAATCCACAGGTAAAATACTTTTACCTTTTAAGGGGCACTTGATGTCAATTAGTTATTATCGATAATTGTTAGGTTAACAGAAAAAAAAGAGTGAAAAAGAAATCATTTATTATATATATTATATTATATTATAACATATATAATTAATAAATAAAATTTATTGACATGGATGCTTATGTAAATAATTTTTTTTGAACACATAAAAAAATTCTTAAAATTACTTCATATTATAATATATAAGATATTTACTAACTTTAAACTATTTATGAAAAATATATATTTCAAAAATAATTCAATTATCTAAAATTTTTAAATTTTAAATAAAAAGTAATTAAAAAATATGAAAAGATAAATGTTTTAAATTTAAAGAAAATGAAGAATCAAATTCAAGATCAATTCACGTAATAAAAATTTCAAACTTTAAAATCTCAAAAAGTTATTTTTATCTTAATAATTTTCTTTATAATCTTTTTATATTTTAAAATTCTTTACAATTTGAAACCACAATATCACTTATTATTATTATTTATTATTATTAATTTGAAATATATTTGTCAATTTAAAATTTATTTATACACTTCAATTTAAAAATTATCTATACATTCTAATTATCATTTAATAAGCCTATAAATATGTTACATTACTATTATTTTTTTCAATCTGTAAATTTTCTCACAAATAGCTGTGTAAGTTTTTCTTTTCTCACACTTGCTGCTATTTGCTCTAATCAAAATTTTAGAATCCTCTTTTATATGTCTATCTATCTGTCACTTAGAGATATTATCAAATTATGGTCCCATCACATTAGTTCATTTATTAGCAACCAAAATTCTTCATTCAAACTTTCAGTCAAAGTTTTTTTTTTTTTTTTAAAATATAACAGCAACGTTTTTGTCCTTCTATGGACCTATCTTTCCTTTCATATTATATCCTGTTTTTTCGAGCCAATATCATTACGTGTAATTTTTTTATGTTAATTGGTAATATTTTTTTATCTATATAATTTTTGCTTAAAGAAAAAATTTTCAATTAATTAAGTTTGTGTATTGAATGTTGGATTATTCTTATGACAAATAAAATTAGGCACATTTTTCAATATTTAACCACATTATAACTTTTTTATAGGTACTTACCGTTAGTTTTTATCATTAGCTTTAAATTTTTACGCAATCAAATAATAGTTTTGTTCGCTCACTTCCAAATCAGCTTTTTTTTTTTTTTTTTTTTTTTTTTTTTTAATTCATTGCAAATCTATTTAGAACCCATTTAAGATTGCTCACAATCATCACAATTGATTTAATTTTATTTAAATATGTTTCAAATATTTAAATTAGTTTAACTTGATAAGTGCATGGACTAAGTATTATTTCGATAACACATTTTTTAAAATTCTAGATATCCATTTATATCTATTTATTAAGTTTTTATTTTTTTTAAACAGATAAAGAGCAATGTTTAAAATTTGAAACTTTTTTAAATATCCATCTAAATCCATTTTTTAAACTGATAAGAGCATGTTGAAAGCCAAAAGCTTTTTAAATAACTTTATAAATATCTCTACTTGGTAATAAGAACATGTTGAAGATCATGAGCTTTTTAAACATTGCAGGTGCATAAAAATAATCACATAAGATAAAAATGAGGCAAATTTTAAAAAACCTTAATTTAAAGCAATAAAATTTTTAGTTTTTATTTTAACATTTTGTTAGTGTACGTAATATATTATTCATAATATCTTTTGAATATTTTGTCCTCAAATATTGTTTATAGTACGTTTTGAATTTTGTCAAATTTTTAATTAAAAATTTTAATTTTATTATGATTTGATATTTTAATTATATAATATGTAATGTATATATATCTTGAATGTGATTAAATAGTATTAATTTATGTTTTTACATATTTAAATAAATAAAGATAATTCATGCGCATGTGTAACAAAGGAGTACTTAAATATTTCTATTTTTACTCTTGACTTCTTTTGAGAGGGAATAGCTTTTGAGTTGTATACTTGCATTGCTGAAATTAGCCCAGTCAGCTCAATTTGAGAGTCCAGAGTCCATACTCCACGCTTGAGGGTTCTTTAGTTTATTCAATAAATTACAAATATCCTTTTGGAAATAATAAATAAACAGGTCTTTCGTTTTTTGGCTAGAATTAGATCAGTAAAGTCAAGTACCCCAAAAGTAGCAATAGGGCAGACCACAATCATTTCTAATTCTATTACAGTTTCGATGGAAACAAACCTGAAGAGTAGAGTGGGAGACCACAAGCCTGTCCCCAGCATCTGCCTTTTCTGGATCCAATGCATTGATATCCGAAGAACCCAAAATGATTAAGTGAAACTTGATCCTTTTCCGCTTCCAAATTGGGATCCTAGCAGCCCATGCAGTAATCATTAATCAAATTTCGATGGTCGAGCAATGCCTACCTTATCTAGTGCTATTCCTTTGTAGAAAAATAAACAAATATACCCAACCCAAGCATTTTGTTTCCTATCAGTAAGCTCTTAGATATCCTCCTGGGTACGTCTAATTCTTTTGTGCATGTCATAATCTTAATTAAAGCAGACTGTATCTATTGCTAAGTCCACGACTTGCAAGAACAGAAAAGGGAGGGGGAGGGGGAGGGGGAGGGGGAGGGGGGGACACGTTTTCATGGTCAATTTGCTTTGCTTTGCTGAATCAAAGAGCAGCCGCTGGCGCTAGGCCTCCTTGATGCTAACCGTGTCAACATTTCCTTTCTAGTTGTGTGTTATTCTAGTGCCTCTATAACCGACAACCGCGTGTAGTGCACTAGTGTACCCAACCCAATGTTTGGCTTAAAAAAAGTAATCCTACTATATTAAAAAAAAAAAAAAAAAAGGCTAATTCCTTATTGGAAAAGAGCTGAAACCCAAAACAAAATAAAGAACATGGCATTCAAGTACCCAACTATTACCATCCCATTCCGGTGATGGGATAACCTTTGCATCGATATAGAGTACCACAATCCCAATTCCTTTCTGAATTCCCACCTAATGAAAGCAAGCAAATGAGAGAGAGAGAGCATTGTTGCATCTACTGCAGGGTATAGAAAGGCTCAGAGGGGAAAAAGGTAGTATCTTTTATTTACACAAAATGAATCTAACAAGACATTACAAAGAAGTGCAGGCACTCTGATCATGAAGAAAATAGAAAATCTAGCTAATATACGGCTGATCAACTCTGCAAATAGATCTCCATCTTCGATAGAATACAATCTACATGTATGCTAATTCATCACTAAGGCAATTAGTAAGGATGAACAACAAAAGGACTAAAGTAGCTATTCTCAAAGCTGGAAGACTGTAATTGGTACTACCAATGAATAGGACAACGCAAACAGTTCAATGTTTTCCATTTAGCTTTTGAAATCCAAACAATGCATAATCAAATAGTCTACAATTCGAAACCAGTTTTAAATAGCATTCTTTGAATTAAGAGAATTAGCTATGCTCAGTGCTGAAAATAAAAGTAACTTGCAAATCCTATCGATATGGTGATCGACTGACAGTTACAGCATGATAATTGAGAACAGAAAAGCCTTTATATGATGATGAAAACAACAAGCATGCCAGTTCAATTCAGATGCCTATGGAGTTCCAAATTATCAAGTAAACTCATCTATTGGAACAAGCACCAGTCATAAAAGAAAAAGCTAAACCTACAAGAAAGTGATAAGACTAACCTAATCTGAAATAAATTCACATAACATGAGCTTAAAGCACTTTAGGTTGGAATCTTTTTTTTACTATCACTTGTTCCTCGTCCTCATACCCAACAATGCAATTGCAGTTCTTGTTTCAGTTTAATGCAACCGAACACAATAACTGAAAGTACCAATAATTTATTTGTTGAGCATCTCCTACCAAATGGTGCACTCTAAAGTTTAGCAACAAGAAACAGAATCAAAAGACAAAGACCTATATCATTCAACAATTGTAATCAGAAAATCAAACACATAGAAGAACCATTCTCTTCTGTTAAAAAAGATGCTCATGTCACCTTACTTTATACAAGATTATTCAGCTTGGGATAAAAAAAAAATGAATGAAAATCGTAATAAAACAAAAATTAGCATTCCAAAGATATTGAACCTACATTAGAAAGCCGGAAGTTCAACCTTTTACATAAAATTGCCAATTCATGAAGGTCTGGTACCACAGTATACCACTAGTTAACGGTCACAAAATTACCATCAGTCAGCAAGCGGAAGCCTTGTTTTTGTAACTCCTGTTACTACCTCTGCAGAAAGTCAATTATCAACAAGTCAACTTCACAAATTTAGATTTAATCATAATGCAGTGATCTTAAATTAGACCAACAAGTTCAAAAGCAGCTGAAAATTTTTATTTTTTTTTTTCATTTGTTTGGTTGCTGAGAGAATAGATGTTCAGAAACAGAGAGGAAAAGAGGGGGGAAATTTTTTGAAATCTCAAATTCGTCTTTCCTTGGTGATTATCTCAGCTCTGATTTGTTAAAAATTAAAAAGAGGCATAAATTCAAGATCCGAAACAGAACAAATTAAAAAGGAAAAAAAAAAGAAAGAAAATTTACCTTGCCGTTTTCAACGAACTCTGGAACCTTGTAAGAATCCACCGTTACCTCCGTCAGCCACAATCCAGGAAACAAGGACTGCAACCACATCCAAAAACCAACAAAAAATAAATAATAAAAAACACCAAAAACAATCGGAAAAGAAAAAATCAAATAGAACTTACATCCAATTGCTTCTGAACATGACGTGCCCGTTTCTTTGGCCTCCTCAGAGGGCGGTGTCCAGCCATCACCATGAAATCCGCCTCGATCTCTTTCTTTGATAGCGGCACCGAGAATTTCGGTCGTGGCCTTTTGTTGTCATAGGCCGCCGCCGATGCGACCGACGGTCCTCTGTCTCTTACTCTGGGTGATTTAATCGCCTCATTCTTCATCGGAGAACTATAATTGTTGTTAGTTCCTTGTCCGTCAATCGGAGCCTTACACGCAGCACGTCTTGTCCTGAGATTCCACGGCCTCGTCTCCACCTCTACCGCAGGCGATTCTTCACTCTCTTTCTCTTTCTCTTTCACTTTCTGTTTAAGCTCTTCAAATTCATCCTCATCGTCGTCCACGTCATCATCGTCGGACACTTTGTCTCTAAAAATTGCATCTTTGATCTTATCCGCCGCAGTTTTAAGATCCTTCATGATCTTCTCCCTAACTGCCTCGATCCCCTCCGCCGCCTCTCCCTTTGATATCAGCAATCGCTGCTTCCTTCCATAATCGTTTTTCTTGCTGCTGGGAGACGACTTAGATTCGCGCCGCCGCATTCCACCAACCATCAAACTCTCAAATTTTGATGGGGGAGATCGGCGTCTCTGAAACACATGACGACGACGATGCTGGTGATGATCAGCGGCGGCAGACAATGAGTCGGTGGCGGTGGAAGCATCATCAAGTTTCATACACCTGAGATACCTTTGATTGCCCCACTTCAAACAAGGCAGCTTGAAATTGTGAAGTGGTTTTGATCTCTCGGAACCCATCGCCATCTCTCCGTCACCAGAATACACCATTGATTGCATCCAAAACACAAAGCGAGCTCAATCTTTAAAACCAAAAAAAAAAAAAAAGTTTTCCCTCAATTCCCTCTGAAAAAATATATATGTTTTTAACTTTGTTGGAGAAATTTTCTTTATTTTCCCGTTGGGATAGATTTCTTATTTGCTATGCCAATCGCCGGGAACGCTTTGAGAGTCTTTCAATTTTATAACATTGGAGTGAGGGAATGCGGAGAGGGCGGTTTTAACGTTCGGGTTATGAGTTTTTTAGAGGGGGGGGTTGCTTCTGTAATTTCATTCTTCGCGGACGGTTTTCTGCTAAAGTGCGCCACGGTGTATAGGAATAGGATCAGGGGAATTTGGGAGTCCCCCGGGTGAGACGTCGTTTTTGGGTTATGGTTGGCTTAACTACCGTTTGATAAAACGCACGTTTGTTTTTATCTCTTCTTATAGCCGCAGATTTTTTTTTTTTTCTGAAAAAAGGAAGAAAAGTTGAAAATGTGATGAAATTGTAAAAGCTACGTTGTGTGAGAAATGAGAATGACAATGTCAACGTGGCTTGAAATAAAATTCTGTTTTTTAAAAGCAATTGAGTGATTATTTAATAATAAATTATATGTGGTCTATTGACATTCGTTTTTTTTTTTTTTAAATAAGTTTAGAAATAAAGGATGTTATCTCATTTTTAATGTTAAAATAAATTATCAATTCATAAAAAGATTTATGTTTTTTTTATGAGGAATTTTCGAATTTACATCACAAAAAAGCTTTTACCAATTAAAAATTTTATTGATAAAAATCAATATTTCGACAGTATTAATATTAGTGACAGAAAAATTTTATCGATAATAACTAAATTGGTAATGTTATTTATCGATAATTATTGATAAAAATTCGTAAATAAATTTTATCAGTAATTATCAACAAAATTATTATTAATAGATTTATTGACGAAATTTTTCATTAATAATTATTAATGATAAAATTCATCGGTAATAAGCTTCAAAATGATCACGAAAGGGTTTTTTTTTTTTTTTCCATTACTAATGATCAAAATTTCATTAGTAATAATGAAATTCCATTGGTAAATTTCGTTAATAAAATTATAGTTTCATTGATAATTTAAATAAAAATATTTATAATTATTCAAAAAACCTGTAAATATTTAAGAAACCTATAAATTATAATTTAAACATGTTTATTTATTTAAATATTCCATTATTATTAATTAAAATATCAAATTCAGATAACATCCATCAAATACATCATAAAACATCCATAAAACATCATAAAATATCCATCCATAAAATATCCATAGCATCCATCAAATGCTTCTCATACAAATAAAAAAAATATCACTATGCTGTTGTTGCACCTTCTGATACAGAATTTTTGTTGCCGTCAGCAGGTTTAGAAAATTAGATGACACGGTTTGTTTAAACCTATCAATTATATCATCTGATCCATGAATGACTTAAACTTAGCCCTCAGCTTAGTCTTCAAGTCATCAATTCATTCTTCTATCTAAGGCTTACGAGCTTCAGAGGCACAGGTAACAGACCACAAATGGAGTGAGACGATCTTATTGCACCAGTGAATTGAGTTGAATGAAGGAGGTCTCTAAATCTATTTGCTGATCTAAAGCCATATACATGAATATGCATAATTTCAATGTTTCTAATAGCTTCGGTTCATGCTTGTGGATCAAAATCTAGATGATTTGAAGAGTCTTCACTATATTTTTGAAATAATGCAGTAGCATAGTTTTCTTACAAAAAGTTTAAAACAATAATCATTACTATAAGACCTATATAGTTCACTAAAATATCACAACTTTAAACAATTCACAATGTCAATATTTGATTATTACATAAGGAATAGTTTTCACATTTTACAAAGTCATTACATTTCAATTTGCATAAAATACTATCTAATTCACTACAGGATTTCCTACAATGTCTTTGGTTTTAGTTACTTTGCTATATATTTCATCAACAATCACAATACACAAATAGAATTACAAATGAAAATACACAATAATTTTCACCTTTTACAAATGTGATCTCATTTAGATACATAAAAACCTTTCATAAATAACTAGTCATCACAATATACTATTAATATAGTTCATTAACAATCACAATACACAACCATCATCAAAAAACAAATACGTAATATAAGGTAAAGATAGTTGATCAATAATCACAATACATAACTAGAATCACAAAGCAAATTACACAATAGTTTTCACTTTTCACAAAGACTTTACAGCACAAAACACACAATATATTATCTATTTCAATAAAGCAAGGCTGTAATTTTAAATTATTTATAGTTATTAGAAAGTCACATACACTGACAACTCTGCACTTGCTGTCAACAAAATCATCATGTCCTCCTGAACATCTGTGAGTGCAATTGAAAAGTTTTATAAATGAAGGTTCTCCTTGCAACTCCAGTGATTGCATATGTTTAGACACATTCAACAAGACATGTAACAATATAATTTATATAATTTATTGACATTTGATGATAAAAATAACTCATGAAAAAGATCGTACCTTTATTTTTCTATAACCAAGAAAAACAACTAGTTCGTTAATGTGATTCGTAATACTTCTTCCTTTTTTTATCCAATGATTTTGTTTGGCTTTGGTAGAGAAGTTTTGCCATTTAAGAGTGCTTTATACATTCTCAATAAAAGCATCCTAAATCGGAGCTGTGATCTACCTCTGCTTCATACCTCTATAATCTATGATGTTATAAACTTTATGCTTTTTCATTGCCAATTCTCTCACATTGGACAATAAGTTTTTCAGTTGAATCTTTGAAATATTGTTCCATACTCATTGAACAAGATCATCATCTAACTTAGTCCATTTATATTGTTCTTAACATAATAAATAGGAAAACAATAAGTCATTGACAAGAATTTGAACTTTTAATTCAAATCAAATAAAAATATATAAAAAAATAAATATCCATTTACTACCTTAAATTTATCAAATATCATAGACTTAACTAACGTAGGTACTTTACCCCATGTCAGCCAAGGGCTAGTGTAATTCGCTTGAATCATTCTTGAATTTGTTGAGCTAACCGATGATTGCTCGAAACAACTACCAACATTCATTTGTTAGTAAGATTAGTTTAACTAAACGAATTCATTAAAAAACAAATAACAATAAGAAAACAATTATTACTTTTCTCCTAGCGAAGTAATCTACACCCACTTTTTTCAATTTATAGGAGTTTGTAACCTTTTGTTTACCCCTTAGTCCTCTATCTAATTATCATCCCTTATTCTCCTCTAACTAGTAGATCATTGGCTACTCCTGGATTGACATCATGCTCCATCAGTGGATCATCCATCATCAGTGCTAGAAGTGACCAATATGGTCAATCATACTGTATCTGTGTTGATACTAACCTATATGGCAGATCATGCTGTATCGATTTTGATGATGACCCAATATGTAAACCACCTCTCATTGATCTTACCCTAGAACCATTTTAATTAATAGTACTCTTTGCATGACATCTCATTATAACTATCATATAGAACAAAAATATTCCATAAGTATTCCAATAACACAAAGAAAAAACAAACATATATAATATTATTTTAGTAAAACAAGATTAAATGAAATTAGCAAAAAATATAAAAAATAAGCAATAAAATAAACAATGAATTTACTTAAGATATATTGTGAACATCGAATAAACATTATAAATAGCAGTAAAAGTCACACTACATACATCAATCGCTGTTAAAAGAAGCAATCTCATGTGTTTCATTATCATCATGATCATCATCATCATCACGATTATTATCATCATCATCCTCTGCCTCATCATCATCATCATCAGCACCATTATTTTCTTGTTCTTTAGCTTGAATTGCTTGTACTAAATGATCTTTTCATATTCACCGGTAACAACAAGTGTAGTATTATCAAGTTTTTCTAAGATAGTAACATTTCATGGAATAGAAACTTCAACTTTTTAGAACACATCTTCATTTAAATTAATTGTCTGTTTTTCATCTCTTTCAATATTACTTACTCGATATGTACTCTGGCTTTTTGTTTTGAATACTACCCACCAATCATTTTGATCTCTTTTTTTAGAAGGATAGTTTGTATGGGAAACTTGATATACTTGCAAATCTAAGACAAATGGTTAATTGCTAGAAAGCATTGAATTATATTTAATTTCAACATGACCATGATAGAGATCTACTCTTACTCACTTCTCTATGTCAAACCAATGATATTTAAAAAGTATAACTTTATTCCCTACTCTATAGTACTTTAATTTAAAGATATCTTTTAAGATACCGTAAAAGTCACGTTCATAATCATTTTAACAACTTTCTTTCTCACATACCCTATAATTCATCATTTTCTGAGTTTGGTCATAGTTAGTCATATGAAACTTAAAACCATTGACAAAATAACTTTTAAAACACTTAACCATGCATCTAAGGCCATAAGTTATCTCAACTAGATGATGATCAATATCGTCATTTTGCTCTTCAACCTATCCAATCATAAAATAAAAACTTTAATTATTATTTTTAATATGCAATAGCATTAAAGTTTCTATTCATATATGCTATTATGCATTAAACCCTTACAAATTGTCTTGACAATTATGGGAATCTAGCATCACATTCTTTCTCCAATTCTACATCACTTATATTCACAAAGTCTATTCTCATCAATTCATCAAATATCCTATCATTGTCAATTATGAATTAGGAAAATTGTGAACTTACTGGAAACATAAATTATAGAGTTCACATATTACAAACTCAATGTAAGGATTTATCTCTTCATAATTCAATAAAACATATAAGTATGCCTTGGTATGCTCATCCATTAATAGCCATCGAGCTTATCTTGTAGACCAAATGCTCGATTAGGATTACTAAAAGTCAAAAAATGTTCTCAAGATTTCACAACTCCCTTATCATCATTACGTGGAACTCGATTCAATCTTGTCGACACATTTGGATCAAAATAGAATGAGTAAAAAGTGGATATCTTTTCGATAACATAAGCCTTATAAATGCTTCAACAAATGCCCGATTGATGCATTTTTTCTTGAGATAATGAAGAAACCTACTCATCATGGTATCATAACACAAATGTTATTGAAGAAAAATTAAATTAATTAATGCTAATGTCTAACAATTGAAATATATTACTTTTCAAACGGATACATTCATCGATAATGAACAGATCCACCAATTTTTGCCTCTTTAGGTAATTGAATAG